TCCTGACACTATAACCCTAGGGTTTATTAATTTAACATGAACTGGTTAGACAAAACCTCCAAGCATAGAAGATCTCCTATGTGAGCATCATTTAAACTCATGGAGCATATGTAGACGTTAGATGAAAGCTACCACAGGGAAGTTCCTATCTCTGAATACCTTCTATAATCCTGAACACAGATAGGTGTTTGGCTTTCCCAAAGTGAATGAGGATGGTTTTAAGAAAGACACAATCTGTAGATACTTTCCCTAATTCACATATTGTATTTTGAATCTACCAATATATCATTTTATTATGCAGAAATTTTCTTAGCTTACTGTAATATAATTTACCATTTTTTGTTTATATTTTTGTGTAATATCCAAATGTTTTCCAAAAATCAGTGATTTTACTCCTCATTTGTGTTCTAATTTAAAATTTCAGGTTTTATTTCTAAGTCTTTAATCTGTTTTGAGTTGATTTTAAAGAAGAGAGTAGGTAAGTTTTCACTCTTCTCTGAATGTATATCCAATTTTTTAATATATCCATTGATTTGATAGAATTTTCTTCTCCATAATTCTATGATATATTTACTTCTTTATTAAGATTTAAGTGAGTTATTGTTCTACATTTTACATTTATCAATTTTTATAGTAATCACTTTGTATACTAAATGGAATAAAGGTCAAAGTCTTTTTTTTGTTTTGTTTTATCAAAAAGGACACCCAATAATTTGAATCCAGTGATTCAAGAAATGATCATACTTTATCAATGGGCTTATAGTAGTATCTATGTTTAGAGGAGGGAGGCATGTATTCAATATGCTTTTGCATATATACAAAATATGCTCAGGCATATAACAAGGACATTTGCTCAACCATGTTGTAGCAGCTTTATTCTTTTTTTATTTTTTTTGTTTGTTTTTTTTGTTTTACTTATTTTTTTAATTTTAATTTTATTTTTTTATTTTTATTTTTTAATTTTTTATCACTTACACTTTATTCATTTTGTATCCCCCCATAAGCCCCTCCCTCCTCCCCTCCCGATCCCACCCTCCCTCTCCTTTTTGCATGCATGCCACTCCCCAAGTCCACTGATAGGGGAGGTTCTCCTCTCCTTTCTGATCTTAGTCTATCAGTTCTCATCAAAAGTGGCTGCATTGTCCTCTACTGTGGCCTGGTAAGGCTGCTTCCCCCTCAGGGGGAGGTGATCAAAGAGCAGGCCAATCAGATTATGTCAGAGGCAGTCCTTCTTCTCATTACTATGTAACCCACTTGGACACTGAACTGCCATGGGCTACATCAAACCTTGGAACCTGACACAGAGGGCCTCTGAAAGCCTTTGCAGTATAGACTGTCAAAGCAGATGCTGAGCCTGATGGACAACTGATGGACAGAGTGAATGGAATTTTACGTAAGAAGTGCGAAATAGTAAGAACTGGAGGGGACAGGAACGCCACAAGCAGCTTTATTCTTAATAGCCAGAATCTGGAAACAACCTAGATGTCCCTCAACTGAGGCATGGATACAGAAATTGTACGTTTACACAACAGAATACTACTCAGCAATTAAGAACAAGGAAATCATGAAATTTGCAGGCAAATGGTGGGAACTAGAAAAGATCATCCAGAGTTAGGTATCCCAGAAGCAGAAAGACACACATGGTATATACTCACTTATAAGTGGATATTAGACATATAATATAGGATAAACATACTAAAATCTATACACTAAAATAAGCTAAGCAAGAAGGAGGACCCTGGGTAAGACGCTCAGTCCTCATTCGGGAAGGCAAATGAAATAGACACTGGAAGACAGAAAAAAACAGAAAACAGGGAATAGGACAGAGCCTTCCCAGAGGGCCTCTTAAAGACTCTACCTAGCAGGGTATTGAAGCAGATGCTGAGACTTATTGCCAAACTTTGGGCAGAGTGCAGGGAATCTTATGAAAAAAGGGGGAGATGAAAGACCTGGAGGGGACAGGAGCTCCACTAGGAGACCAACAGAACCGAAAATTCTGGGCACAGGGGTCTTTTGTGAGACTGATACTGCAGCTAAGGACCATGCATGGAGCTAACCTAGAACCCCTACACAGATGTAGCCCATGGCAGGTCAGTGTCATAAAGGGTCCTCTAGTAAGGAGAACAGGGACTGTCTCTGACATAAACTCAGTGGCTGGCTCTTTGATCACCTCCCTAGAAGGGAGGATCAGCCTTACCAGGCCACAGAGGAAGAAAATGCAACCAGTCCTGATGAGACCTGATAGGCGAGGGTCAGATGGAAGGAGAGAAGGAACTCCCCTATCAGTGGACTTGGGGAGGGTCATGGGAGGAGAAGAAGGAAGAAGGGCAGGATTCGAAGTGGGGTAGGGGAGGGGCTACAGCTGGGATACAAAATGAATAAATTGTAATAAATAAAAAAGAATTTTGAAGCAAAGCCATACAGTGTGTCCATGGTAGAACATCGATACTACCCAAGCAAATTCTGAACATGCCTTCTGCATCTTACATTTTATGGCATAACTTCTCTGGATCCTGGGTTTGTCTTCTCTGTGCATATGAAGCTAATAAATATGAAGGGCAAAGGGTAACCTTGGTCTCAACATTCATTCTCACACTGACAAGAATTACAGTTGAAATTAACAGCGTCAGCATGGCAAATACTATTTCACTGACCTGGAGGCCCTCATCTGATGAATCCGGTTGTGCTCAACTTTTAAGAAACATTGACTGTAGTGGAAACAGAGACCGTATGGAAAATGACCTCACTAGCTAGTGAAGGATTGAAGCTGCAATGCCTGGCTTGGATTTTGGCCTCACTCCACCCTTTCCTCCTCCCTGGCTGCTCCTGTGGCCATGTGGCCAAATCCCAAGGCTGATAGACAGAGGGGCCTTCTGTGCATAGGGTGGTAGCTGCTGGCAGCTGACTAATGCACCCATTTGGCTCCAAAAAGGAGGAACTCACCAACTTCAGTAGCAATCTGAGAGATCATCCAAAAAGTGTAAGGTACATTTATGTAATGGCCATATTTCCCCTGTCATAAACATAACTGAAAGAAAATGGTATTACTCATTGAGAAATTTCACTGAAAGGACCAAATAATAACTGGGGTGTGGTTTTCTACCTCAGTACAGTAATGTATTATTTTTTTTGTTCCAGAAAACTCATCCATCTTCAGTACCAGCTTTGTGAGGCTAGCAAAGCATCATGTTATTTCTTGCAACACGAGAAAACGGAAATCAAAAGTTAACAGAAAGTAATAGCAAAGATTGTCAACTAGATTCATCTAACTTTTCGTTCTGTACTTTTTTCTCTGTAATTTTGCTTTCCTGGTTCTTCTGAGTTCAAGTCCATTGTTCTGACTCAGTCTAACTTTTATTCTTGAGCTTAGTGTGAGCAAGAATGATGTTTACATTGTATGGTCAAATCTGACATTTTTTTGTGAATGGATTGTTTATGGTGAGTGGCCATGTCACAGTGGTTATGAAATATTTTGCTTATTGTTTTTCTTATAAAATTTTTCTATTATTTTACTTCTTTACTTCAAATACATTTGTGTCAACTTACAGGCACATGGTCAAATAATAAGATAACATCTATTAGAAATAACAATAAAATCAAGCAGAAGAAATGCAAGAACATACAGATCAACTTGAGTATGAAATAATTAAACATAAAATGTATAAATCTCAAGTCTGAGGCATTTTCTAGACATGAGTGAGTTACTAAGTTCTACCTCTTGCTAGGTGACAAAAAAGAAAAGAAGATGAGTTTAGAATGCACTGTCTTTATGAAAAATGCAAACTAAAAACATAGTAGACACAGAATTATCTTACCAAATCCTTTCAAACAGAAACACTGTGCTTTACCTGGCAAATGTTCCTTCATATCTCTACAAAAGATTAACAATGGTTTCAAAGACTTCTTTTCACAGGTTGCTTTAACAAAGATACAAAACAGCCAGTACTTTCTTCCCTGGGTCACTTAGTATTTTGATGACATTTTGAAGGTATTCACCTGCTCTCCCTAGATAGACAGAAATTTCTTTAACATGTAGTACTTGAATCGTTTGTTTGTTTGTTTGTTTGTTTGTTTGTTTGTTTTGGAAAATTACCAGAGATATCTTTTAAAAACCATAAATTTGTAAGAACTGTGAGTTGGGCACACATCCCCTCTCAAGCACATTTCTTAGCTGGTTGGGCTCTCTCTTGTTATTATTCCCTGAAACATGAAAAGCCCAAAGTTTTCCATTATTGTCTGATTTTCACCTTTGGTAAACCCTATAGATGTTTTTGGAATTTTCTTTAGCTCCTGCAGTGCAATGCTCATGTCCCATTCATTTTGTCACTCACTCATCCACCCTTTAATCAGACATATGTAGAGATCAAGCTGCACTCAACTCTGTCAACTCTGAAGATAGATAAATAGATAGATGATAGATAGATAATAGATAGATAGATAGATAGATAGATAATAGATAGATAGATAGATAGATAGATAGATAGATAGATAGATAGATAGATAGATAGGTGATAGATAAATAGAAAGCAAAGTGATATCATGGAACAGGTTCTAGATCAAAGCAGAAGGCTAAGTTGCCCGGGGATAACCCCAAGACAGCATAGTAAGTGTTGTGGAGGTCAGGGGTAGAAAAGACTATTATTATTATTATTATTATTATTATTATTATTATTATTATTATTATTATTTTGGATGAGGCTAAAAATAGATCCATACCAGTATTGCCAGTCAACTCGTCTTGATAAAATTTTCAAAGATGTTGAAAATAAAACAAAATTGTTGTTACAAAACCATATTAACTACATAGTATTGGACAAGAATGGAGGATATGTTTGGGCAAGAGAGCATCTAAAGTTTTTGAAGGATCTCACTCAGTAAGACTTCACCAGTAACAATCAAAAATGGACTACATCATTCATGAAAACAGTCAAGAATCTAGCCCAGGCACTATATCTCAAAAGGAAAGCTCTGTTGATATTTGACTAATTTCACTTTTTTAAAAAAGTATGGAATGCTTCACAAATTTGCATGTCATCTTTGCACAGGATCTGTTCTAATCTCTGTATTGTTTCAATTTTAGTATATGTGCTGCCAAAGTAAGCACATATACTAAATTCAATTTAAATTTGAAAAGAGATTTTCTGATTCATGTTGAATTTTTTTCTTTTTAGGTTCTGATGGAAGAGATATATGACTGAAATTATACTACTATGTGCTGAGTTCATGCAAAACTATCTGATGGCTATTCTGTAGATTGTGTAGTGACTGCCTTTGCCTCTCAGACATAGCATTTTTGTTTTCATTGAGATTAAAGAGACAGCAAGTGTTGTTACATCTCCCATGATGCACTCCTCGGTAAGGAGTGTTAATCTTTAACTTCATGGTTTTGCATAAACTCCCCTCTGTGTGATTTATGCCCAGCTTTCATGGCCAAGAAAGAATGTGTTTCTCCAACTGAGTCACATAATCCCAAAGCCATAGATTTGCAAAAGACATACTTTACAATGAGAGATTTTGGGGGAGGGACGGTAGGGTGATCTCAGGGCCAGAGAAATGGAATGAATGCCTTTGGATTTTGTGTTAGACTGAAGTTTTGTTTTGCAATGAGAGTGTTGTCCTCAAACTGGAGAAAAGAATGAAGTATTTGCAGATATTAATAAATGAACTGTATTCTTGAGGCTAAGCTTAAGAAGGTAAATCTTTGGTGGAACTTAATAACTTCTAAAGATTTAGGTTACATTATTCCACATTTTCAATTTCTGCAAGAGCAACAGGGTCAGTATGATTATAAGTAAACCTGCAGTGCAAATTTAATAGATTTGAGAATTTAGTCCCAATAAATGAACAGGCCATAAATAACACACAGTAAAATAATACAAATGACTATCTGCATATATCAACTTGATTTTTTAAATTTTTTTTCCTTTTTTTTTCTTAAAAAACACCTTTTCTGGAAGAAAACCAGAAAATAAAATCTTTATTCTGAGTTTTTTAAAAGGAATTCTCAAGTCAGAGATCTCCATTTATGTCTCTTGTTTGCTATGATTGGCGAATCCCAGCCAATCAGTAGACTTAATATTGAGTTTCACTCAGCTGTTCAAGTCTGCCAGATCCCTGCTCTGCCACAAGCTAAAGCTCATTAGCCAGCTATTGCAGCTTTGCTGCAATAGTCATTTACTCTCATTCTATTTAAAGGATCCTTCCCTCATACTGTGTTAAATGATTCTACACTGCACAAAAAGTGCTGAAGCATTCACATTTTGGCTGATGGCAAACCACACAGGAATGGGGTTTTACTCTTAAAGAATAGTTTGTGCTTGCCCTGGGTCTCTGTTGCTCCATTTCAGCATTCTTTGCCAACTCAAAATTCTCCAAGAAAGTGTAAATCCTACCACAGGAAGCGAGGTGTAGAGTATGTGCCTTGACTGATGACATCACCTTCGGGGTAGGACTGCAAATTGTATGAGCTTATGTATACAGATACTGGCTTCTAAGGTGCTAGAGTTTATAGCTATATATATTTTGAGCTTGAAAATTCATCATATGAGGAATGGAGAATAACCCTTCTGACTCTTGGACAACAATTCAGTTATCCTAAGGGACTATATCGGCCCAGAATTCCAATGAATAGGAGGTTTTACACCTGACACTGCTACTGATTTGGGCCAAGTACTTGTGATTTGGGGTTATGATAGATCCCAGTTACATAATTCTGATAAGCCAGCTGATGGCTGCATCGCTTCCGAAGAAGGTGCTACTTTCCTTAAGTGACTCCAGGATCTCCAAGGTCATTAAGCAGATACACATCTGAAATTCTATCAGTATAAGATAATCTGCACCACTTATTCCCAAATTCCCGAGCGCAGACCTTTAGTAAAATCTTTTTCGTTTATTGGTTACTGAGCTGGAGTGGTGGTGTCCTCCAGAAGAATGTCTAGTGCCGTCTGGGAAGTTTTCAGTTGTTACAGAGGTAGAAAGGGAGCAGAAGAAAGTAGCTCGGAGTAACAGGGGTGAGATGCTGTTAAGTGCCATGCAATGAGCAGGTGAACCCTCCACAACAAGCAATTACGTGCCCTAATCTGTCCATAGTGCTGATGTGATCTTTGTGTCCATGAGGAATTTAAGAAGCTTAGTTGAGAGGATAGAGGGAAACATGAAGACTTCCATCCCTTTCATCAGATATGTTCAGGCTGGAGGCACAAGAGAGATGGCAAAAGGGAGAGTCACCCTTCCCCAATTTCATCAGAAGCCACTGAAAACCAGTTTTGGAAAAGCATAGTTTTCAGGTTTTTTTTTTTTTTATGTTGTTTTTGTTAAACCTAGACAGAATAAAAGAAGCAGCATGCCCTTAGGCTCTATTCAGATGATGGAGTCCAGCATGAAAGGAGGTTTCACTAGACAGAATGTAGAGCACAAGACACACGTGGACAGCCTGTGGTAACTCCTGTGGAGTTCTGGAAAATTCCATGGAGAAATCTGGACATAATAAACTATTTCTCTGAACCAGTGGATTTTCTTTCTCTGTAGCAAATACAAATAATCAGCATTATTCACTCAGTTGCATATGACATTCCAAACTTGTGGAGAGCATTTGGTTCTCTTCTCTGGTGTGTGGATAACAGGTGCAAACGTCTCAGATACCCACAGACTGTCTTAAGAGGAACAGTATGTAAGGCACGAAAAAAATAACTATTTGCTCCAGGCAAATTCTCCCAGAGTGGTGCAATTCAGTTAGTCCCCCCCCCAACACATCTTGACATAGCTAGTGATTGTTAGATTATGAAAGATTTTAGAAAAAGCTAAGGACAGTAAGACTGCGGACAGGTAGAGGTTGGGAAAGGTGGTCCATTATTTTGAAAACTTGCTTTTCTCATCCATCACCAACACATCCCCCCTTCCACAGATAATCTATTAGTATTTAAACTTGTCTGTAGCCAGTTGTCCTAGCACATTCTATCAGGGAGGCATCTGTAGCTACCCACTAATCTCTCCTGAAACCACAGGAAGCCAGGCTCTTCTTGTTCCCCTCACCCATTAGCTCATAAAGAACTGCCCAGACCTTCTCTGGCACTTTCTTTACTCAGATGTCAGCTGCATGAAGTCACATGGTAACCACAGAGAGACTTTATGCTGTGTGCCACCGCTCAGTGTTAACAAAGCGCTAATGCTGCCTGGCGTGAATAAGGCTAGTCATTGTGGCCAAACTTTGGAGAGGTGCAAAGGGCCAAATGTCAGACTGCCAGTTAAGCAGCAAGGTGGAAAATTCTTGCCTTCCTTTTGGCTCAGATGAACTGGCTGTGAAAAAAAAATTATTAAATTAAAACAGGCAACAAGAAGAAAGATTTTATTTTATTTTTATTTTTTTGGTGTTTCATATGAAGTTATACTGTGTTAGCACCCCATTGATGGCCACACATTACATCTATAGCATGCACAGGGATACATGGTACATGTGCACTTATAATTAAGGATTCCATGGTATCCATTCTGTTGCTGCATATTCTAGCTGGTCTAATCTGCTCAGGGGAAGCAACTTTTACCCAAGGTCAATATTCAATCTCAGCCCCAATGGTCCTGTTGAAATAATTGTCTTCAAGGATTCAGAGTGAGTTATAGAACATTATAGGCTAGTCAGATAGAAGGGGAGGAGGACCTCCTCTATCAGTGGACTCGGTGAGGGGCATGGGAGGAGAAGAGGGAGGATAGGCAGGATTGGGAGGGAATGAGGGAGGGAGCTACAGAGGGATACAAAATGAATTAACTGTAATTAATAAAAAATAACTTTAAAAAAGTATCAATCATCCATTCACACAGTGCCTCAAATATCACAAACAATATGTACATACATTGTCTAGTTTAACTTTCTCAACCATCATCCCTTATTTTATTTATCACCTACTATGTGTATTGGACTTACAAGATTGATTGGAAATTGAAATGATGGACCTTGACCAGATTATATGGCTTCTAAGGTGATGCAAACTGAACTTCTGATCTTCTGACCTACGGTAATAAGACTTTTCATGAATGGTGTTATGCTTACCCTTTCTTCCATATGGATTCCATTTACCCTATGTATGTTGGATGAGTTATCCCTTTACTTTGATAACGATGTTATTCTTGTTTGTCCTACTGAAGCATTTCTACACAGAGAGGTTGCTCCAGCTCACACACAGGCCTGTCTGGATTATATCTATGGTTAGAAAAGACCTTATTTTGCAGCTTAGTGGCTGTCCTCAGACTTATCCAGCCAAGATTTTCCTCAGAACTTCTGCCTATGGCTCTCAACATTTCATAGATTGTGTAAGGACCTGGAGTGGGCTATTTTATTGTATTTTACAGATGTCTGAATTGTGTCACAGGGACATAAAATAAATCATCTAAAACCACAGTCAGCATTCCAAGGCTCCAGAAGCAGATTTCTGGGCATTTTTACATGGAAATTCTGCAAAAGAGTCTCTTCTCTCTGTCTCTCTCTCCTATTTTCTTTTCTCTCTTATCCCTCTCCTTCTTTCCTCTTTTCCTCATTTCCCCTTCCTCCCTCTCTCTCTCCTCCTTCCTTTTTTCTTTCTCCTTTCTCTCCCTCTCCTCTCCTTCCTTCTTCTTCTCTCCTCTCTTGTTCTTTCCCTTTCCCTTCTTTCTTGTCTTCTTTTCCCTCTCCTTCCTTTCCCTCTCTATTTCTCTCCTACTCTTTTTTTCTCATTATTTAATTCTTTCTTCTTTTGAGAAAATGGACTTCAGGGAAGAATCTGCAGACACGTTTCATCTTGAACCTCCTGGCTTGAAGAAGTGATAATGGCTTTCTCTCTTTTCCCAATGCATTGTACGTATCTCTGTGTACTACTTACCATAGCAATCTGGGCTCTGTGTGTGCATGTCTTCTTCTTTCTCCAGGATAGAACTGAAACCAATCCACACTGTCTAAGGGATTTGTCTTCTCGCTTCTCTGTAGTGTGAGGAGACTTAAATAAAGGCTTGCTGTTAAGAAGACTATGAAATGAATATAGACCTTTAGTTTATTATCTGCTTGCTTTTTAAAACAGTGTCTCACTCTATAGCCTAGGCTGGCCTAGAACTCACTACATACCCAAGGCTAGCCTTAAA